AGAATGGGGTTGGACTGGATGATGGCCCAGGAGGTCTCTTCCAACTCTTTGATTCTATGATTCTATGTGTATCCGAATGGACCCTTTCCCAATGGCAGTCATATTAAAGTATTAAAGTGACCACAGGGGGATCACTCTAAGCAGAGATAAATATACACAAAGTCCGAGGCAAGCCGAGTACACTAAAGCCAGGTCAGGAGCAAGAAGAAGCAACGGCCGAGGTTACAGTCCAATAGTCAGGTGATCAATAACATAAAATAACCACCAAGAATCCAAGAGTACAAATTGAAATCAGAGTTCCAAAGTAAAGTCGGATTGTGAGGAATACAAACTAAAGTCCAAGTCCATCAATCAAGCCAGCTGGTCAGTCCAGAATTTAGACTCAAATCCTCAGGATACAACATAGTCCAGAACAGGGTGACAGGAATAAGACCAGAGTCCAGATTTGTAACCAAGGGGCAGCAGAGCCAAGATCTAGGACAACAGTATGAAGGCATGTAAGAGGGGGGAGGTGGGCAGGAAAGATGTATAAAAGGAAGTGGTGGTGGGGAAAAGTCAATAGTGTCTTTCTTTGCTGCAGAGATACAAGCAATATATCCATTTCAAAGCAAAACCAGCTTGTGAGTGATCATTTAATATTGCTATATAAAACCTAGTCTTACAGCGTGACAGTATTGGCTACCGGAGCCATTCTTTTCCGGAACTTTAGATGTGGTTTTCCTGCTTCTTGGCGGGGGGTTGTGGAGCAGCAAACAGCAGCCTGTCCATTGGGATGCAAACGTGGCGGAAGAATGACACCAGGTTCCAGCAATGCTCAAAGTTCAGATTTACTATTCCAAGTTCAGATTTACTATTCCAATGGCACCGGGACTGTGGCACAGCTGACTGAGTGTCAGCTGCATTAAGATCACTTCTGACCAAAAGATCATGAGTTCAAAGCCAGTCCAGGTCGGAGTGAGCTTCTGACCAATTGTGTAGTTTGTCGTCAACCTTTGCAACCCAAAAGACACCTGCATCCCGCCTACCTTTGTGACCGTATCTCCCACCATGAACCATCTTCAGCCCTCCGATCTTCCAGGGAGGTCCTTCTCTCGCCCCTGTCAATCTCTCAAGCTTGCCTAGTGAGTACAAGGGAGAGAGCCTTTTCTGCTGTGGCTCCCCGACTCTGGAACTCGCTACCTGGAGAAATTAGGAAAGCCCCTTCCTTAGAAATCTTCAAAAAGAACCTTAAAACCTGGCTCTTCCGCTGCGCCTTTGATGAGTAGGTATATAATCTCACATGATTGCTCTGCCTCAAAGTTCTGTCACTGGAGTCTACGCCCCCCTCATGGGAAAGCTTGATTCCACAACTCCCACTAAAATGAGCCCTCCTCCATAAATTACCTGCTCCCTCTTTTATCTCACCCGAGTTTTTAATTAGTTTTAATTGGTTTGTCTTTTTAATCACTACATGTAGCCCGCCCATTATTACTGTGCCCATGCATATTGTAATTTTTATTGTTATGTATTCATAGGTTTTATGTAACTATGATGTTATTGTTTATTGTTCGCATTTTCAGTTTCTGTTTTTGGTTTTTCTTTATTGTAATTGTTGTTGGGTCTTGGCCTCATGTGAGCTGCTCCGAGTCCCCATCGGGGAGATGGTGGCGGGGTAGAAAGATTATTATTATTATTATTATTATTATCTGTCAAGTAGGAAAATTAGGTACCACCTAAGTTAACTAATTTATGAGGTCATAAAAAAGACTCCAGCAAAGCACTCCAGCGGGGAAGCATGCGGGGAATGCGGAAGTACTTCATCAGTGTCGCAGATGGATGATGAAAGCGACAGCTCCCCTGGCGGCCAGAAAAAGTTAAATAGCCTCTGACTGTCTGTCTATATGTATTGTGTGTCTTTGGCATTGAATGTTTGCCATATATATGTGTACATTGTAATCCGCCCTGAGTCCCCTGTGGGATGAGAAGGGTGGAGTAGAAATACTGTAAATAAATGTAAATAATAAATAATGGGACAGGGTGAGAAACCTCATCACGTAGATGAATCACGTGGTTTGTTTTCACACCCCATGATTTGAACAGAGCACATATTTATACACAATTGCTTATATAACTTGTTGACATTAATCGATTATTAATACATCGTGATAACCAGCTGGAAACTCTGAAGTCAGCGTGTTCAGGTCATATCCCAACATCCCAATCTGTGACCTTCTGCTGGTCAGCAGTTCTGACGTGTCCCCGGTTAAGCAATTCATTCTTCATATTTCTAAAATGTGAAATAAAATATTTCTATGTAGTTTCTATTGTAATTACATTAAGATGCCAAGTGGTGTTCCAATATTACAGGTACTCTTCTAACCTTAATTGGGGCCATAGGGCAGATTATTTATTGCCACCTGCTTGTTTATTGGTGTCAATTCTGTCTAAAGCACTGACAACGACCATAATTGTAACTTCACTTTGCTCAGCGGAAAATGAGCTGACGGAGAGTTAATCACATAGAATCCTAGAAGAGTTGGAAGAGACCTCCTGGGCCCTCATCCAGTCCAACCCCATTCTGCCAAGAAGCAGGAATATTGCATTCAAATCACCCCTGACAGATGGCCATCCAGCCTCTGTTTAAAAGCTTCCAAAGAAGGAGCCTCCACCACACTCCGGGGCAGAGAGTTCCACTGCTGAACGGCTCTCACAGTCAGGAAGTTCTTCCTCATGTTCAGATGGAATCTCCTCTCTTGTAGTTTGAAGCCATTGTTCCCTTGCGTCCTAGTCTCTCTCCAGGGAAGCAGAAAACAAGCTTGCTCCCTCCTCCCTGTGGCTTCCTCTCACATATTTATACATGGCTATCATATCTCCTCTCAGCCTTCTCTTCTTCAGGCTAAACATGCCCAGATCCTTAAGCCGCTCCTCATAGGGCTTGTTCTCCAGACCCTTGATCTGCTCCCTCCTCCCTGTGGCTTCCTCTCACATATTTATACATGGCTATCATATCTCCTCTCAGCCTTCTCTTCTTCAGGCTAAACATGCCCAGCTCTTTAAGCCGCTCTTCATAGGGCTTGTTCTCCAGACCCTTGATCATTTTAGTCACCCTTCTCTGGACACATTCCACGACACAATCGTCATGATAATCAGCTGGAAACTTTGAAGTCAGCGTGTTCAGGTCATATCCCAACATCCCAATCTGTGACCTTCTGCTGGTCAGCAGTTCTGACGTGTCCCCGGTTAAGCAATTCATTCTTCATATTTCTAAAAGTCATACTTTCTATGTAGTTTCTATTGTAATTACAACAGACAGGCTGCTGTTTGCTGCTACACAACCCCTGCCTAGAAGCAGGAAAACCACGTAACATTGGAACGCCACTTGGTGTCTTAATGTATGACAGGTCCTCTTCTAACCTTAATTGGGGTCATAGGGCAGATGATTGATTGCATGCGGATTGCCTTTTCCCTATGCCTCCTGCTTGTTTATTGGTGTCGATTCTGTCTAAAGCACAGAGGACTTGGTTCTCTAGTCTGACAACGACCAGAATTGTAACTTCACTTTGCTCAGCGGAAAATGAGCTGACGGAGAGTTAATCACATAGGTAATCTTAGGTGGTCTTAGAGGGTCTCTGGGTTCGATCCTAAAGAAAAGGAATTTGGGGGATCTTCTAGGGTCGCTCCTTCAGTTGGCCTCTTCCAACTCTCTTCTCTATGAGCTCTCCTTTTTCTTCCCAGAAGCCTGTGATGCTTTCCCGGAAGAGGTCAGGTGAACCCCTTCCAAACGAGCTGCAATACTGAGAAGAGCCCTCAGCAGCAGCAGTCAAGCCAGGCCACACAAACTGCTGTCCACGCAGATCGAGAGCAAGGTGGTGGTGCTTTCTCTTTCCTTCTATCCTCTCCTTCCTTGCCCACCTGCGGAGGGAGGGATGGGACACATGTCGGGGGAAATGTTTCAGCAGAACTAGGAAACTCAAAGGCAGGACTCCTCTAGCTGCGTGTGAGTTCTTGGATGTCTAATGCTGAACCTTCGCTGAAGCCCTTCCCACATTCCATGCAGTGATGTGGCTTCTCGCCTGCGTGAGTCCTCTACCTTCGTGACCGTATCTCTCTCCGTGAACCAGCACGAACTCTTTGATCCTCGGGGGAGGCCCTCCTTTTGCCCTTGCCAGTTTCTCAGGCTCGCCTTGTGGGTACAAGGGAGAGAGCCTTTTCCTCTGTGGCCCCTCGACTCTGGAACTCATTGCCCAGAGAGATTAGGAAAGCCCCTACTTTAGAAACCTTTAAAAAGAGTCTCAAGACCTGGCTCTGCTGTTGCGCTTTCGGAGAGTAGTCACATCATTTTATGCTATTGCTCCCTCAACGTTCTTGTCCCAGGAGTTCTCCCCCCCCCCCCTGTACAAAGGTTTGTTTATTTCTCTGTCTCTCTATGAGTTCTCCCTTACAAACAGTTCTGCCCCTTTATCTCACCCTGAGTTTTTAAATCATTTTATGTACATGCGGCCCGCTCTCTGTCATTATGTTTGGTTTCTATGTTTTGTGTATATTGTTTATATGCTTTGATGTTTTATACTTTATTGTTATGTTGTTTATTTTACTGCAATTTGTATTGTAATTTGTTGTTTGGGCTTGGCCCCATGTAAGCTGCTCTGAGTCCCCGTTGGGGGAGATGGTGGTGGGGTATACATAAAGATGATGATGATGATGATGATTATTATTATATGCATTTGAATCCCTGAGGGGACTCAAAGTAGTTTACAACATAATAAATGCCAAATTCAATGCCTCACATATATACAAAAATATCAAAAATAGTTTGTCACTCCGACTGAAGCCTTTTCGTCATTCCATGCATTCATGTGGCTTCTCCCGTGTGCGTCCTTTGATGGGAATTCAAATCTTCACTGTGACTGAAGATCTTTCCACATTCCATGCATTGCTGTGGCTTCTCGTCTGTGTAAGTCCTCTAATTATTATTATTATTATTATTATTATTATTATTATTATTATTATTATTATCTGCATTTCTATACCACATTTCTCACCCCTGAGGGGACTCAAAGCAGTTTACAACATAATAAATGCCAAATGCAATGCCTCACATATACACAAAAATATCACAGTTTGTCACTCCGACTGAAGCCTTTCCCTCATTCCATGCATTCATGTGGCTTCTCCCGTGTGCGTCCTTTGATGGGAATTCAAATCTTCACTGTGACTGAAGATCTTTCCACATTCCATGCACTGATACGGCTTCTCCCCTGTGTGGGTCTTGTGATGAGTATACAGTTTGTCGCTCCGGCTGAAGCTCTTTCCGCATTCCATGCACTGAAAGGGCTTCTCCCCTGTGTGGGTCTTTTGGTGCAAACGCAGACTTCCACTCCGACTGAAGCTCTTTCCACATTCCTTGCACGTATGTGGCTTCTCCCCTGTGTGGGTCCTTTGATGGGAACGCAGATCTCCACTCCGACAGAACCTCTTTCCACATTCCATGCATTCGTGTGGCTTCTCCCCTGTGTGGGTCCTTTGATGGGAACGCAGATCTCCACTCTGACTGAAGCCCTTTCCACATTCCATGCACTGAAATGGCTTCTCCCCTGTGTGGGTCCTCTGATGGATATACAGTTTGCCACTCTCACTGAAGCTTTTTCCACATTCCAAGCACTGATAGGGCTTCTCCCCTGTGTGGGTCTTTAGGTGTGAGTGCAGGTTTCCATTCAGACTGAAACTCTTTCCACATTCCACGCATTGATACGGCTTCTCTCCTGTGTGGGTCCTTTGGTGAGAATGCAGAGCTCCACTTTCAGTGAAACTCTTTCCACACTCCATGCACTGATATGGCTTCTCCCCTGTGTGGATCCTTTGATGGGAAAGCAGCTTTCCACTGTGATTGAAGCTCTTTCCACATTCTGTGCATTGATACGGCTTCTCCCCCGTGTGGGTCTTCAGGTGGGAATGCAGAGCTCCACTGTGGCTGAAGCTCTTTCCGCATCTCATGCACGTATAGGGCTTCTCCCCTGTGTGGAGCCTTTGATGGCGATGCAGGCTTGCATTCAGACTGAAGCTCTTCCCACACTCCATGCACGTATATGGCTTCTCTCCTGTGTGAGTTCGTTGGTGTTTGCTAAGAGAACTTCTCCCCGTGAAACATTTCCCACACTCCACACACTTATGCAGCTTCTCCCCTGCGTGTGATGTGGAACAGGGATGAGGAAGATTTTCCATTCTTTTACATTTATGATTCAAATATTACGGCAGGAGTTCACAGGCATGAATACCCCTTAAAAGCACAAGATGTCCTCTTCTCAGTCTTTGTGTGGCTGTTGTCTTCTGGTCTCTTTCCCAAACCCCTCTTTTCCTCCTTGAATTCCCAGGTGTGTCGCTCGAAAGAGGTCTTTCTCCTGCTTATTTCTGGTTCGTGTCAGCGCTGTGTGCCTCCATTTCAGACCTAAGGCATCCCGAGGGCAAAGGTCTCAGAAGGGGTTCTTCACAAAGTTTGCTCAGAGATTATCTGCCAGACAAATGAGAGGAAAATCCCATCAGGAGCAGAGCAAAGAAAAATCTCATTCGCATGAAGAACAATAGCCTAGAGTTGTAGCTAATGCAGGAGAAGTGGGGAGAAGGACTGGCCCAACCGAGGACACCTTGATGCCCAGCGAGAAGTACCTCATGCCCAACGAAGATCAAACCCTGGTCAGATACAAAGAAGACAGCCGCCCAAGATTCTGTGCATGGCATTTCTTGAACTGCAATGTGTTCAGAGTTTAATCCAACCTTTCTAAAGGAAGCACTCTTACAATAGGGTCAGCACAGAATGGGACAAAGGCTGCAAAAGCATTTCCTGCCCAGAAATAATAATAATAATAATAATTATTATTATTATTATTATTATTATTATTATTATTTTATTTATACCCCGCCACCATCTCCCCAAGGGGACTCGGGGTGGCTTACATGAGGCCAACAATGCAAATATACAACATGAAAATACAATAAAATATAAGAAAATAAGGTAAAATACAAGAAACAGTATAAACAAACACATCAGAACAATATAAATATCTCCGGTTTCCAAAACTGAATGGGGGGGGGGGGGGGGGGGAGAGGAAGCGGATGGGAAATAAGGAAAAAGTTATAAGTAGGAGACTAAGATGGAATTAGAAAGGAGCAGAAATTGAGCTATATCAGAAAAGTATGCAATCTCCCTTGCACGTATGTATTGATTTAGTTTCTTTAATACTGCTGTAAAATTAAACCTTGTGTGCCATCTGCACCCGTTCCTTGGGAAATCTGACTTGGCCATGGTGGTCCACGCTCTGGTTATATTCCGATAGACTACTGCAACACTCTCTCCGTGGGGCTGCCTTTGAAGACTGCCCAGAAGCTTCAATTAATCCAACGGTCGGCAGCCATTTTGTTAACTGGAGCAGCGTACAGGGGGTGTACTATTTCTCCATTGGCTGCCAATCAGCTTCCGAGCACAATTCAAAATGCTGGTCTTGACCTTCAAAGCCCTGAATGGTTCTGGCCCAGTTTACCTGTCTGAACGTATCTCCTGCTACGAACCATCATGAAGCTTAAGATCATCAGGAGAGGCCCTGCTCTAGATCTCACCACTCTTGCAAACGCGGTTGGTGGGGATGAGAGACGGGGCCTTCTCGGCAGTGGCCCCCCGTCCGTGGAACTCTCTCCCTAAGGACATCAGGTTGGCCACCTCCCTCCTGTCCTTTAGAAGACACCGGAAGACCTGGCTCTGGAACCAGGCATTTGACTAGAGGGGATCAGCAATATGGAAGGAAAACCTTTGGACATCTCGATATTGATCCTCCCAGCTTGGTCTTGGTGTATTGGCATGCTAATTTATTTATTGTTAAGAATTTACTGTGGAAACTGGATAATGTTTTAAATGGATTTTTAGTGTTTTAATTGTATTTATTGGTATATGTGGATTGCATCCTTGGATGCTTATGTCAGGCCGCCCTGAGTCCCCTTGTGGGGAGAAGGGCGGGATAGAAATATATGCAATACATAATAATAAATAATCTCTCTATATAAAAATGCTCTGTGCATAACGAGTACCTTAAAAACAAAAGAACCAATGAACGAAATCACACCAGATTTGGCAACAAAACGTCTCCCCACACAAGGAGTGACCATCACTCAAAAATTATGAATTTGTCATTTGGGAGTTGTAGTTGCTGGGATTTATAGTTCACCTACAATCAAACAGCATTCTGAACTCCATCAACGATGGAATTGAACCAAACTTGGCACACAGGCCTCCCATGACCAACAGAAAATACTGGAAGGGTTTGGTGGACATTGACCTTGAGTTTGTGAGTTGTAGTTCACCTACATTCAGAGAGCACTGTGGACTCAAACAATGATGGACCTGGACCAAACTTGGCAGAAGCACTCAATATGCCCAAATATGAACACAGATGGAGTTTGGGGGAAATAGACCTTGACGTTTGAGAGTTGAAGTTACTGGGATTTATAGTTCACCTACAATCAAAGAGGATTCAGAACCCCAGCAATGACAGAATTGGGGCAAACTTCGCACACAGAACCCCCATGACCAACAGAAAATACTTAAGGCCATCCAGTCCAACTCTCTTCACCAGGGCAAGAAAACGTAATCAAAGCCCTCCTGACAAAGATCCATCCAGCCATAGATATAGATAGATATGATCCACACACACACATAGTATCGTAGATTTGAAAGGGACCCCTAAAGAAGGACAGTGATATGTGGTATGTTCCAGAGTAGGCCAACCAGGCACTCTCCACATCAACACTGACAAAGAAACAGCAAGAAATACTGTTGACCCACAAGCAGAAAGACATCACACAGATTAGAAACCAACACTTTCTCATTCCTTTACTTTCCAGATCAACAGACTGGGCCACAGCAACGTGTGCCAGAGGACAGCTAGTAGAATATAATGGAGGCAGTTACACTCTACTTATGCAACCCAGTATTTTTTTAAAAAAAGAAATAGATCCCCAGCTTCCAAACATTTCAACTCAGAAGGTTCTTGTGGGGTTTTTTCGGGCTATAGAATCATAGAATGAAAGAGTGGGAAGAGTCCTCCTGGGCCCTCATCCTCCAGTCCAACCCCCTTCTGCCAAGAAGCAGGAATATTGCATTCAAAGCACCCCCGACAGATGGCCACCCAGCCTCTGCTTCAAAGCTTCCAAAGAAGGAGCCTCCACCACACTCCTCGGGGCAGAGAGTTCCACTGCTGAACAGCTCTCACAGTCAGGAAGTTCTTCCTCATGTTCAGATGGAATCTCCTCTCTTGTAGTTTGAAGCCATTGTTCCCTTGCGTCCTAGTCTCCAAGGAAGCAGAAAACAAGCTTGCTCCCTCCTCCCTGTGGCTTCCTCTCACATATTTATCCATGGCTATCATCATATCTCCTCTCAGCCTTCTCTTCTTCAGGCTAAAAATGCCCAGTTCCCTAAGCCGCTCCTCATAGGGCTTGTTCTCCAGACCCTTGATCATTTTAGTCGCCCTCCTCTGGACACATTCCAGCTTGTCAATATCTCTCTTGAATTGTGGTGCCCAGAATTGGACACAATATTCCAGGTGTGGTCTAACCAAAGCAGAATAGAGCATGGGGAGCATGACTTCCCTAGATCTAGACACTAGGCTCCTATTGATGCAGGCCAAAATCCCATTGGCTTTTTTTGCCGCCACATCACATTGTTGGCTCATGTTTAACTTGTTGTCCACGAGGACTCCAAGATCTTTTTCACACGTACTGCTCTCGAGCCAGGCCTCATTGTCCCCCATTCTGTCTCTTTGCATTTCGTTTTTCCTGCCAAAGTGGAGTATCTTGCATTTGTCACTGTTGAACTTCATTTTGTTAGTTTTGGCCATTCATCTCTCTAATCTGTCAAGATCCCTTTGAATTCTGCTCCTGTCCTCTGGACTATTGGCTATCCCTCCCAATTTGGTCCCGTCTGCAAACTTGATGATCCTGCCTCAAGTTTGCAGACGACACCAACTTGGGAGGGAGAGCCAATAGTGCAACAACCCCTGGGGTGGGAGACATGACTCCTGCCCAGTTCTGCTCAGTTTATCCCATTTTAGAAAGGACAATGACAAATTGCAGCCGATTTAATTGTAATGTTTATATTCTGTGTTGCTTTTATCGTTGGCCACTTTGGGTCTTCTTTCAAGAGAGATAAAGCAGGACAAAGACAATCATCATCATCATCATCGTCATCATCATCATTATATTTATTTGGGGTTCTTCTACCCCGCCTTCCTTCTCACCCCGAAGGGGACTCAGGGCGGCTTACAAAGGCAAAGGCACAATTCGATGCCTGCATCATAAAACAATCATACACAAAATTACATCAATTCACAATTAACAACAGTTCATGCATTATAACCATAAAATCAATAAAATCAATAAAACCAAATACAAACCCAGTTTCTCCTCTTACATGGTCAGCATTCGCTACTCATAGATATCGTTTTACGTTCCACTTCGTCAATCCTGCTGGTCTTACTCGCCTGATTGTCTAATTTAATTGCCAGAGTGCCCAAAGGCCTGGTCCCATAACCACGTCTTTACTTTCCTCCTGAAGGAGAGGAGGGATGATGATGCCCTGATTTCCCCCGGGAGTGAGTTCCACAGGTGAGGGGCCACCACTGAGAAGGCCCTGCTCCTCGTCCCCACCAGCCTCACTTGGGATAGCGGTGGGGTCGAGAGCAGGGCCTCCCCAGATGATCTCAAATTCCGGGGTGGGACGTAGAGGGAGATACGTTCGGACAGATAACTGTAAATTGCAAGAGTGGACCTTCACCTTCTGTTCCCTTTGACCCCTGGTCAGATTGAGCACTGAAGGTCAAAGGTGCCTGGCCTCACACAAGAGAAACCCTGGAGCAGGCCAAAGAGACTTAGAATCCTAGAGTGGGAAGAGACCTCATGGGCCATCATCCAGTCCAACCCCATTCTGCCAAGAAGCAGGAATATTGCATTCAAATCACCCCGACAGATGGCCATCCAGCCTCTGTTTAAAAGCTTCCAAAGAAGGAGCCTCCACCACACTCCGGGGCAGAGAGTTCCACTGCTGAACATAGAATCATAGAATCCTAGAAGAGTGGGAAGAGCCCTCCTGGGCCAACCAGTCCAACCCCATTCTGCCAAGAAGCAGGAATGTTGCATTCAAAGCACCCCTGACAGATGGCCATCCAGCCTCTGTTTAAACAGTTCCAAAGAAGGAGCCTCCACCACACTCCACAAGGGGCAGAGAGTTCCACTGCTGAACATAGAATCGTAGAATCCTAGAGTTGGAAGAGACCTCCTGGGCCATCCAGTCCAACCCCATTCTGCCAAGAAGCAGGAATGTTGCATTCAAATCACCCCTGACAGATGGCCATCCAGCCCCTGTTTAAAAGCTTCCAAAGAAGGAGCCTCCACCACACTCCAGGGCAGAGAGTTCCACTGCTGAACAGCTCTCTTGAAGAACACAAGTGTGGGGAAAAGGAGGA